CACTCAATCTGTTGTAGGAAAGATCTAAACTCTCTAGCTGGGAAAGACAAGAGAAAATTTTAGGAATGAAACCCTCAAGATGGTTATGAGACAAGTTTACCACAAGAAGTGAACCCAAATCTCCAATTTCATGTGGGATTTCTCCTTTAACGATTGTTGCATGACAAATCCAATCCGAATATGTATTTGAGGATGATTCCCTTGTAGGGGCTGGGCCTTCCTTTGGTAACGAATTCAACCTCAACTGATTCATCGTATCCATCATCTTCAATCATTTGTTGGTAAGGGCTAAGAAATTCTCATTTATATACATTGGATGCTTTCCCCATGCACCGAAGGTAAGCAAGTTGGATCGTTGTATGTCTCTACCAAATTTCCTGAAAGAGATCTTATTGATGCAATGAGGAATAATCCCTGAGAATTTGTTGTGGGACAGGTCCATCAGGGAGACTTTGTTCAAGTTACATATGTGGTTGGGAATGGAGCCATTCAATTGATTCGACCCCAATAGAAGAACGCTCAAGTTGGAGAGCGCATGGAATGAGTTGGGGATTGTACCAGACACAAGATTATCCCTCATATCCAATGTTAGTAGATCTGATGAATTTATAAAAGCATCTGGTATTGGTCTGGTCAACTTATTTCCTTGTTAAACTATATTACTCTGCATGTTCGAGCAAGTTGGTAAAGGTCCCAAAATTGAGTTATGTGAGATGTCTAAATGCCAAATTTTCCCTAGTTGACATGGTAACCGGCCTCTCAAGAAGTTATTGTACATTAGGACAGTGCCCCGGGCTGTCATATTAGATATCCAACTGACTTCACCTGAGATATGGTTGTTGCTAATGTCCAACTTGATCGTGGAAAAGCTCCTAGCAATAACATTTGACACAGTTCCAGAGAAGTGGTTGTCATCTAGGTGTAAAACCTCTAATCCTATCAAATTGAAGCTAGTAGAAAATATTTCCCCTTTGAACTTATTGCTGGATAATTTGAGAGTAGATAA